TGAGGCAGAGTGAAGAGGGAGCTATCCTAGAGTTCTCAGGGATCAAACTGTTGACATAACTGGAGTGAATGAGGGTTTCAGTCCTCTACATTGATGATGCTTTATGTGATTTAAGAGAAAAACAGAGGCATAAGCCACACGATCTGGTTCTCTTGAACATCAATTTTGTGGGGAATACAGGAAAAGAACAGAGAAGACATTAATACACGTAACAAGTTGTTTCCTTTTGTTCCGCTTGTTGGCTCAAAATAGGACAGGCCATTTTGTTGAAGAGCATTTTCTGACACTGAAGATCTTTGTGGTTATTTATACAGAAATGTACCAAAACCACATCTAATTTCCCCTTTTCTCCTGACACACAAGCCTGTTAAAATAAAGAAAACTAAACACATGTTTCCAGATGAAGGTAATAAAATCATACTTATGGGGCATGCATCTTGGCATTTCATATAAGTCAAATTCTCAAAGAATCAATCCAGAAATCTACCTCAGTAAAAGCTTCTCCTACACAGGAAGATCTCCATAAAAGGGCATCGGTTTCTGGATGCATGTGTTAGTCCATAAAAACAACAGTAAAGGGAGATGTTGCCATGGCTTTTACTTTGCGAAATATGGTTGGTCTTGCTTTATGATATTTACTGACCTTGTCACAGACTTTTCTCATACCATTGTGAGACCTCTGGTTTGCATGTCTGTAACTCAAATATGCACACTCTATATTCCCTTACTTTGTAAAAACTCAACTGGATAAAGAGAAAGACTGGCTATTTCAGAACTTGGTGTTGGCTGAATGTCTTAATTGGAAGTACTCATTCCATTCCTGCTGATTCTGGCAAAATCTCAGAATGCATTATTTTCAATTGGAGAGACAGAAATACAGCAGTGAAATGGAAAATGATATTCTTCTGTCTCCTATATTGCACACTCTATTTAAGCATGATGTCAGAGCTCTGCATAAGGAACAACTGCTTGACATTGTCCTCAGTACTCTTATGGAGCATCATTCCTGAATCACTCAATCTTTGAGTGCAACTCTCTGGCTCTCAGTGCCTGCCGTGGACCATAGAAATAATAACTGGTCAGGAAGGAACTTCCTGTACTACCTCTGAGCAGTGTCTCAGGGGCTCTGTTTTTACACCATCATACTAGACTTGCAAGAGCCTTCATCCACATGAGTCTCAGGCTGCCCTTATCCTCTTGCAAGCTTCTCTAAAGAAAAGGGAGATGGGAGAATAGCCTTATTCTCATGTTACTTTATAGGTGTTAGCATATGTAATAAAAACATTTGGAGAAATATATGTAGTTTCTGCAAAAAATCTTCTTGGCCATTTTTTTTTTTTTGATTGAGATGGAAAATACCATTAGGCAATCAGACAAATGGAATTCAGAATTTTAACTGTTTATTTTCTCTTCCATACTAGGAAAATAGAAAGTGATACTTAAATCTTTCAGCAGCCATCCATCAACTGGTTAGGCCAATTACAGAGGAGCTTTCACACCATTATTACAACTCCTTACCTATAAACTTAAGTGTCTCAAGTAGTTAAATGTCCCACCAAAAGCTTAGAGGCAAGTCCATCTACATTGTGTAATTTGGAAAACCATCCAAGATTTGTATATGAGACAGAGTCTGGAGTGAAGAGGGCGATGAGAAACATTTAAGTGGTCTCTGATCAAAGAAATAGGACTTAAAATAAGTGCAAACATCAAAATACTTAGTCAAGGTGTTAACTTTAAATTAAAGCCATTTTGTTAGAATTTATTTAATTCAAAAATCATGTTTTCTCATTTTAATTTAAAAAGGGGACCTAATACTCTGCTTTAAGCTTCTATAGCCTGTAAGTCATAGACAGACTTCTAGCCTCAGCTGTTATCCTAAAGTTTCTCTTCAGGATTCATTTAAATAAATAGTTAACCATTTTTAAACACACAAAATATGATATTCATATAATAAATGACATTCACAAAATTCCAAATTGGAAATTCTCATTATCCAGATTTTATTCTTACATTATTTTCTATTCTGATGCTCTTCCAAATATTTATTTGCACTTATCATTTTTGGAAAATATAGCTAAAATATCATACAACTCTAAAAAGTCTTAACCTCAGTGTCCTTGGCAACTTGGACAATTTTTATTCCTCAAAAAAGCAAAACTGTTTCCTATCTTGTGGATTTTTTTATCTTACTTTATCTGCCTAGAATTCTCCTTCCCCATGTTTAGAGTTATGGTCTTGATTCTTGGCACACATTTATTCTTCTAGGATGAGCATTCCAGTTCAAGGAACCTGATCTCTCCTGTCAGGTCTTTCTAAAGTGCATTTCCCAGTTTTATTTTATTTATAGGTGTTAATTCCATATTTAAATAATGATAACAGGATTTTAAACAATGATAACAGGACTTTAACAAGACTCTTACTGAGACTCTTGGCCATTCATTATGCAAAACAAAAGGACTTAGGCTGTGTATTGAATATGTTTCCCCCTCAAAAATAACTCATACCACACCTGTCACTTTTACTGAGATCCGGTTACTCATTTTCCATACTATGCCTTCCATCTGCATGTGTTGGAGTCACTGCATTGCTGCATATGGGAGAAATTCTCCTGTGGGGAAATCCTCCGCTACTGGCAAGCTTCAAAAGAAAGCCATGTTTGTGGGATAGCATGCACTGTGTCAGAATTCCCTCTTCAGGCTGTCTCTAATAAACTCATTACATTAAGATCAAAATGACTGACCAGCTGTTCTCCTTCCCTGAAGTATTTGCATTTTAAAAGGTGAGAAAAAGCCTGAAAGTGAAAGGCAAAGTTTCTCTTTGTTGAAATTCTGACATGGAGAAATATGAAAAAAAAAGGAATAAAAAGCAAAGACTTAAGAAAGGACTAAATTATCACTACTGGAATCATTGCACATATAGAGCTGGAAGCTAGACCATTAGACCTGTTTTCTAAAATTCCCAAAACATTTGCATGACTCTCTGGGAAAGCAATCCATCCCTAAATTCTGCCTTGGTTTTCCTGTTTAGGGGGCCTTAAGTTCGCTAAAATTATAGGACTCATTACAGAGACTCAAGTGTAGAGGCCTCATTTGGAACCAATTTGGTCATCAAGTCATATTTGGCACAGGCTAACTCCCTGCAGGGGTCACAGTTGGCCTACAAGACTTGATTAATCTCAAAATTTATCCAGAAACCAGCAATCCTGTCACTCCAAACTGTGTTCCTCCTTTACAGTAATATTAGAATTCCAGAAGGGTATAGAGAATCCCATCTTGAATATAATGAAATACCTGTCTTTGTTAACATAATGAGTGACTAAAACAGAAATATGAGATGAAATCAATTGTTTCATTCATTCATTCAGATACAATAAATCTTTGTCAAATGATTAGTCTGTGCCAAAAATAGAAATAAAAACATGAAGAAACAATAGTTATCAAATTAAACCAGATTTCTACTTCCACATATATTATAGTCTAATGATATAAAATAAATACCAAACTAGAAACAGAAATCTAAAGAAGAAAATATCAGTTTAATTGCTATTAAAAATAGTTAAACAGTCCAGTGAAGTAGATCATAACACCATAAAAGAGAATATCAGATTGAATGGTCTGGCAAAGACATCTAAGATGGAAAGTGCAAGTGGAGACCCTAGGGAGCAACTATTATGATTTGGAATAGATCACCAGACAAAAACCTATGAGATGAAACAAGCTTGGTTTAAAGAATTCACAAAGAAAGACTAGGAATCTTAATTTTCCTCCTTATTTCACATTAATAATATGTTCCTCTTCCTCTATGATGTGCTTGTGTCAGAAGGCCTAGGGAAGAGTAAGGACATTCACCATCACTGAATAATAATAATAAGAATATACGCATCTATACATAGTCAGTGTAGGCCACACTGGAAGGGGGAATTCCCACTACCTAGTAGTTAGCAAGGAGGATCCTTCTCCTCTCCTGCTGATTACAGTCTAGGCTGAATAGAAAAGCTGGACTTTTACCTCTACCCAAGAATAGCAAAGCAATACGACCCTTCGTCTGATGCAATGTTGCCAAAAAACCCCAGTAAAACAGAAAGGCCAAATAATGATGCTGAATTATCTCATAAAATGATATGAAAGAGTTTGGTTTTACTTTTAAAAATCACTCAGCACTCCAAAATTAAGAAAAATTTCATTGAAAAAAATAGATAAAAGAAATACTAATATGAGCTAAAATAATTTTTAAAAGCCATTAAAAGTTTTCATTTACAAGCAATTACAAATACACTTGACATAAAAACAGTATAGGCCAGAGATTTAGCTCAGTGGTTCTGTCACCTGCCATGTAAGTTTAAGGACCCGAGTTCAGTCTCAGGTACCAAGAAAACAAACAAAAAAAAAATACAGTATAAACATCCCAATGAAAGCAAAACTGTTGACAAAGAAATAAGAGCAATAACAATAACGCATCAAACGGAAACTTTAAAACAGAAAAAGCGCAATGAATGGATTCATCAGAGGAGTAATCAAGAAAGCAGAGAACAGAATATAAATTAAGTAGTTAGAAAAAAGAGATGACACCCCCCTAAAAAAAAAGTGAGGAGTGACTCCCACATTTAGGAGACTACAATAAAATGGTGGCATCCATTCCTTCTGGAAGTACAATAGATATAAGACAGGGTTGAAAAGATATTTGAGGATATAATGACTGAGAATTTCATAAATCTTGGTTAAGAGACATAAATTTATAAATGTGAACATAAATTTGAACCCCACATGGGATAATCCCGCACAAATGCAGGCCAGGCCTCCCAGAAACAGTAATTGTCCTGTACTTGCGTAGCCTCACAGCCCAACCCCCACCCCATCCACGCTTCAAAATTGCAGGCTGAGGCCCAGACCTGGACAGAGCCTGGACTGGGCATAGAGCGCATGCGGGTGGCTGCTGCGGCTGCGCAAACTGTTTTTCAGACCCGAAAGACTGGAAGAGGACGTGAGCACGGCTGAGCTAAGATGGCGGTGCAGGCGGTTTATCTGGAAGCTGACGCGTTCCTCGTTTGTCTCAACCATGCCCTCACCACAGAAAAGGAGGAGGTAATTGGGCTCTGTATAGGGGAGTTAAATGAGGACTCCAGATTTGTGTATACTGGAGCTGAAATGTGTACAACGGCTGAAAAGATCGATACTGTCAGAATTGTTCAAATTAATTCTGTCGTAATCTTGCAACGTTCTGATAAGAGAAAGGAGAGAGTAGAAATTTCTCCAGAGCAACTGTCTTCTGCCACAACGGAGGCAGAGAGGTTGGCCAAAGTAACGGGTTGCCCAATGAGAATTGTGGGCTGGTATCATTCTCATCCTCATATAACCGTTTGGCCTTCACATGTTGATGTTCGCACACAAGCCACGTACCAGATGATGGATCAAGGATTTGTAGGACTTATTTTTTCCTGTTTCATCGAGGATAAAAACACAAAGACAGGCCAGGTACTTTATACTTGCTTCCAATCCATACTGGCCCAAGGAAAGTCAGACTATGAAAGAATCGAAATCCCAATTCATGTTGTACCTCGCATCTCCATTGGGAAAATATGCTTTGAATCAACACTAAAGCTGCCGATGATCTTGTTCCAGGAGGAACAGGATACATATAGGAAGATTCAAAGCCTTAAACATCTGGACTCAGTAACCAAGATCCATAATGGCTCAGTGTTTACTAAGAATCTGTGCAGGCAGATGTTGGCTGTCAGCAGGCCTCTTCTACAGTGGTTGGAAAACAGAATGGAGAACAATCAACAGCTTTTGCAGGAGTTGAAACAAGAAAAGAAAGACCTTCTGCAAGAACTCTCTAAATTTTAGTAATTTGTTACAAAATGCATATGCCTAGAGACTATAATGCTAAGTGAAGTAAATCAAATGCAGAAGGTTAAATATGGCATGGTTTCTCTTATATGACAAACCCAAAATATAAATAATATAAAAAGCAAAATAAAAGAGAATAGGAGACAAGATGGAAAACTTTGTGGATATGGGAAGGGAACCTAGGGACAGGGAAAGACAGAGAGAGGGAGGGGTAAAGGAAGTAAAACTGATTTAAGATGTGATGTGTATATGTACCAGTTTCTCAAGATGCATGTAATTATAATGTGTCATAAACATATACTAATTAAAGTGAGTAAATGAAGTTTTTGAGGAGAAACAGCCATCTTTTCTGTAATAAAGAGAAAATGGGGACAGATGAAAATACTCAGTGAATAATTAAATCAATTCTGATGGAGATAAAGTTAGAGGACTCTGGATGTAAAGACTTACTGTAAAGCCAAACCAGATATGGAATTGGTATAGTGATAGATCAGAAAAACATAAGACTCCAGAAATCAAGTTACATAAATATGCCCAACTAATTTTGACCAAATACAAAAGCAGTTTAATACATAAAGCCTGTTCAACAAATCATGTTAGAGTAATTAAACATCCATGAGTAGAAATAAATATTAAAACCTCAACCTAAACCTCATTGCACATGCTATGAAATTTACCTCAAAATGTGGATTTAAATGTAAGATACAAACTTCAAGGGAAAAAATTATAGGGGAACGACCTTTAGGAGATAAGTCGTTGGACTTTATCTCAAAAGCACAATCCATTAGAAAAAACTTGAAATATTGGGTTTCATCAAAATAAAAAATTGCTGGGCATGCTGGCACATTCCTGTAAACCCAGCATGCAGGAGGCTGAGGCAGGAAGATTGCCTTGAGTTCAAGGGCAGTATGAACTATAGTTGCAGGCCTGCCTAAAGTGCATAGACCATGTCTCAACAAACAAAAGCAACAAAAAACCAAAAAAAAAAACAAAAAACAAAAAACAAACAAACAAAAAACTTTAAAAATTGTAAGTAGAGGAAAAGACCGCTTTGGAAATTTCTTATTAAACATACACCTAGTGTATAGTTGGTTGAAAATAAATATTTGCATTATTATCTGTTTGTTTCATTTTTTGCAGGAATCAGTTTGGTTGATGTACCATAAGTACTTTGAAGACAATGCTATGTAGTGTAATAACTTATTTTCATTAATAACAACAAAAATTAATATTTTCATAAAATAAAATTTAAAAATATTACACATGCACTTAACCATATGATCCAGCAATCAAAATCCTGAACATTTACCCCAGAGCAATGAGAAGTGATGTTAACACAAAAACTTGTACAACATTAATAACAGCTTTATTTGTAATATCAAAAAATTTGAAATAATCCCTATGTCCAGCAATAGCTACTTAAGGGTTAAACAAATCATCTATACCATGAAATATTACTCTGAAATGAAAAGGAATATACTGTTAGGTACACAACTGAAATGGACCTCAAAGACATTAATGATAAATGAAAAAAGACCTCAAAAGTTCACATACTGTATCTTTACATTTACATCACATTCTTAAAATATCAATATTACAGAAACAACAGACTAATGGTTGCAGTGAAAGTGGAGTGGATGGGATGTGGTTTATGTAAAACTATATAGGAATGAGAAAAGGCATTCCTTTGTGCTGATGGAGCCATTTTGTATCATAATTGTGGTCTTGAGTACCTGAATCTGTACTTTTGCTGAAGTTGTATGATCTATACCCATATCAATATACGCATGCAAAAATCTGATGATGCTGAAAAAGTCTGTAATCTGTTTAAGGATATTAGACCACTGTCACTATCTTGGTCTTAAAGTTGTACTGCATTGTGGAAGACTTTACTGATGGGGGAAAACAGGACAAAGGCTGCACGGGATGCTCTAATTTTACAACTTCCTCTGATTCTATAATTTTTGCAAAATAAAATCATGTGTTTTAAATAAAAGAAATGAGTGCCATGACATGATATAAACTTTTGAAAATTAAGGAGAATGGAAAAAATAATGAAGCTTCTACATTAAAAAAACATGACATACCACTTACAGGAGAAATGCATTCATATGACAGTAAAATTTGCATTAGAAACCAGAGACCAAAAGAACTAGTACATGTTTTAGGTCACAAAGAAGTGTCAGATCAGAATCCTATACACATTGAAATGACATCCAGAATTTTAGAAAAATTCAAGGCATTCTTAAATGAAAAAATAAACATTAGAACTGGTTTTAAGGAAACCTACACTAAAAATGCATGAAAGGGATACAATGGATGAACCATCAAGAATGAAGAGCTCTGTGAGCAAAATTACAGATAAATACAATAGATTTTCTGCTCTTGAGTTTTCTAAAGTTGGTTAGATGAAGTAACAATTGTAAAAGGTGTAGGGGAAAGGCAATAAGGGAAAAGAAAACTATGAGAAAATGAAAAAATGGTAATAAAGTTTTTGTAAATAAGGAAGGGAGGAGGGGGTGAAGGGAGGGCAGGGGTATGGGGAAAAATGAGAACCAAGACCTGTCATGTAAAGGTACAAGATCCCAATGATGAATGTAACTGTACTCTATACCTAAAATGTACCAATAAACTCAGTGAGAAAAAAATAAAATAGCAATTATAAAGGCCAGGGATTTAGCTTAGTGGTTCCACTGCCTGCCTTGCAAGAGCAAGTATCTGAATTTGATTCCCAGTACCAAAAAAAAAAAAAAGATAATGTCGTCCAGGGTAATTCTAAATGTATGCAGAGGAAGTCATTAAAGTAAGTATAAGCATGAGACCATAAAAGAATATTAAGATTCATATGTATCATCCACATTTATAAGATGGCATTTGAAAAGCAATAAAAATTTCTAGTTTCTGTTACAATGTAGTGCCTGCCAGTTATTTATTTTTCACCTACTTTCTATGTTTTGGGTGTCAAATCCAAGACAAATGTCATGAAAATTTTATACAAAGAAGTAAAAATCATCAGTAAAGATAAACATGTAGGAAAATATAAATTACTGCATGAACGTATTTGTTCACCTTTTTACTCCTAACAAATAAAAAGACAAAGGAAAATATAAATTTTCAATCACACCATTATTTTTCATCTCTTTGTATGTATTTGAATTACGTTTCTTTTCAACCAAAATATGTTCTTTATTATTTCTATGAAGCAAATTTGTTATAATTTATTTCACTTTACTTTTGAAAAATAACTTTGCTGAATCTAAATCTAATTTGGGGGAGATTGTTATTATTTTATCATTTTGAACGTAGCCTTTTCTAAATATCTTTGTATTTCCTTTGTGTATAATGAACCACTTTCTTTTACTTCTTTCTAGGTTTGTTGTTGTTGTAGTTTTTATGTCTTTAACTTTTGACAGTTTATCATAGGGATAAGTAGAAATCTGTTTGCACTTTTCATAGAATGTGTTGATGGTCTTTGATGTGCATATTGTATATTGTTTCCTGTTTCTTAATCTTGCTTTCTTTTTCTCCTGACAAAATTTGGTTATGTTTATACAGTTGATGATAACTTGTAGGCTCCTAATTCACTCTTTACTTGTTTTATTTGTTCTTCTTCAGATTATATAGTTTATTTTACATTAATGTTCACTATAACAACTTTCTTTTCTGCCCTATTAAATCTGATGGTAAGCCCCTTTGATGGTTTTTCACTTCAGTTATTATATTTTTAATTAGAGATTTCCCATTGAGTAACTTGTAAATTTTATTCTTTTATTTTTCAGTTTTTAAAGTTATTGCCACCATCTTTTCTTTTAATTAAACATGTCTCCCTATATCTGCTTTATCATATTTTTAATAGCTGTTTTGAAAAATTTGACATCTGTATCCCTAAGGATATTTTCTAGTGACTTATTTTTCCTGTATGGACCACATTTCCCAGTTTCCTTGCATATCTTATATATCTAATGGGAAAAAGATGTTTCATGTATTATAGTACTGTAGTTCTAGATTCTAATTCCCTTCTGTAGATTTATTATTGGTGCTGTGTTTTTGTTTGTTTAGTCGCCTGTCTGGCCTAATTTTGTACAATCTAATTACTCTAAGTTATCTCTCCTTTTTTCTTTATGTTCATGTTTACTTCTGAATGTCCTGGTATAATGCATGGGTCAACAAAGTTCAGTGGTCAACTAATAATTGATTTGATGCTTACCCAAATACACTGAGCCACTAAGACTTTCACTCTTTGCCTACAAATTTGTGCTGTTTTAGGCACTTATTCAATGTGCAGGCATTGTATGAGTTTTCCCTAGCTTTTCATTTCTTCTGGAGCTTCTGATATTTCAGCTTCATGTGCACAAGACCTCATACTAAACCAGAAACTTATAAAAGGCTAAGAATCTCAATTATCACTCTTTAGCAATTCTTTTTGCTTATACATGAATTCAAATTTCCAGACTGCCAAAATGTATGTGAACTTTTCGAGATTTGTACGATTACTTCATTTCCTAGGATGGCACCTTAAAATTCCAACTAGTCTACCATTCTGTTTTTTGCTTCAGCAGGCATTACAACCATGGCTGCATGCTGGATATTCATGTTCTCAATTTATTTGACACTGAAAACAGTATTGTTTTTAACAGCATCCCCAAGTATTGCTTTCTTTTGAACTCTGCTCCAGATGAAGTCAGTCCTATTAAGCAGATAAATTTCTGGTTATCTCAGTTTTCTCTGTGAAAATTATTAAAATTCTATGTCAGTGGGGTTGGTGAAAGGAAGTAAACTCACAAACTTCTACTGTTATTGTGGTTAGCTTCACTTGACTTGTGGTTTGCCTTGTTTGATTTCCAAGATATGATTGTTTTGACAGATTTTTCCATTTTTTTCTCTTTGCCATACCAGAAGTCTTCTGGCTGGACTCTTTTTATTTATTTTGTTCCTGCACTAAATGTTTGGTAGGATTCAAAGTGAAGTCAATGGCCTTGAATTTTACTTTAAATTTT